GATTAGACTAAGAAACCAAGGCTGGGGTTGGACTAGATGACCTCCAAGGTCCCTTCCAACTATTATTATTATTATTATTATTATTATTATTATTATTATTATTATTATTATTATTATTATTATTATTATTATTAATCATCGCACAGTCAGTCAGATGTTCAGACTGGATTTGGCATTTTTGTCTACCTATCGAGTCCTTACCAAAGACCTGGGATAGGCAGATGTGGATGTTTGATGGTATTACAGATATCGTCGCAGGATGGAAGCAGTTCCTTATTATGATTATTATGATTATTATGATTATTATTTATACCTGTAAACAGCTCTAATAGCAGACTCTTGCAAGTCACTTTATCTTTGTGTGAATTAAGAAGCAACTTGTTGGAGATGTTTTTTTCACATTTTTTTCCTTTTGTTGGTCCTGGCTCAAGTCCCGCTTATCTGACTGTTGCCTTGGTAGTGACTCTTCCTCCTGCCCTTCCAACAGCCAACCGCACCTGGACGACTGAGAATCTCCATAGACATTTAGCCAACCACATACTGATAGTATTTTCATTTTCTAATATATTACAGGTAGTTCTTGGTTTACAACTTTTCATTTAGTGACCATTCAAAGTTACAGTGGCGTTGAAAAAAGTGACCTAGGACCATTTTTCACACGTACGGCCGTTGCAGTGTCCCCATGGTTACATGATCAAAAATTCAGATGCTTGTTAACTGGCTCATATTTATGATGGTTGCAATGTCCCAGGAACACATGATCACCTTTTGTGACCTTCTGACAAGCAAAGTCAATGAGTGATCCAGATTCGCATTAGAACCGTGTTACTAACTTAACAACTGTGGCAAGAGAGGTTGTAAAATGGGGCAAAACTCACTTAACAACTGTCTCACTTAGCAATGGAAATTTTGGGCTCAGTTGTGGTCATAAGTCAAGGACTACCTGAACTCTAGGATCTTGCACTAGACTGCCATTAATTAATTAACCTGCCAAAAGATTGGTCTATTGACTTCTGGAATAACTTTAGTTAATACAAATAAACTATGCTCCAATTCACTGCATGTGTTTTTCAACATCATATGCACAATAGATTTTTTTTTCTATCTGGGGTATTTTATGCAAATGTTTAAGGAGCTACAGCCCACTTTTCCACCTGGAACCATTTAACCCAAAAAAAACTTTTAATAGTACAGTAGTACCTTGGTACTTAACTGCTTTTAAACTCATCAAATGTGGTACTCAACGCATTTTGACGTGAAATTTTTCCCCCAGTACTCATTGTTGGTTTGGTACTCAACACACAAACCAGAACTTGTCGGTGTCAGCTGCTTTGTGACTCACTACATTATTCCTTATGGGAAAATTTGGTACTCATCGTTTTTGGTACTCATCATGTGTTCTGGAACCAATTAATGATGAGTACCGAGTTAGCACCATATATGATTGAATCCATTTCTCTCCACCCTCACTTCTTAAGCACTGACAAAACTTGAAAACAGAAAACTTTAACTGAAAATATTCAAACTCTTCTCCTGTTACACCATGATCACATTAGACCTCCAGAACTTTTGCATGTAAAGTGGTCATGCAGTGGATGATGCTGCCCTGGTTTTTTTTGCAATGGGTATTCAAGATAAATTTGTCAGGAACACAGTGAAGCTTTCAGAAATGCCAGGCTGGCAGTAGCCAGTTTCCTTCTCCTAGGTCAGGGGTAGGCAACCTTGGCTCTTTTATGACTCGTGGACTTCAACTCCCAGAATTCCTGAGCCAGCATGGCTCAGCTTGGAAACCTCTCCCTTTCCCCTCAGCATGGCTGGCTCAGGAATTCTGGGAGTTGAAGTCCACGAGTCATAAAAGAGCCAAGGTTGCCTACCCCTGTCCTAGGTGTCAGAAACCATGTGACTTTTCTTTAGAAGCACTCATATCTGTTGGTGTATCACTGATTCTGCCTCTACAACAAACAACTTTGTGTTTCTGTCCTTTCTTGGAAATTGGATTAGCTCATTCATACATGCAAAAACTCAAATACTTTGTGAAAGGAAAAGAAAGTGGATCTTTAGAACTATGTTGAAACAGTCATAGGACTGAGATAAAATTGTAAGTTATACTTGCCAAAAAATAAATGTATCAGAGAAACCGAATTTTGTGTCTCATGATTTTTAAGCACTGTGAGAAAATACCAATTTTTAGGCACAGTGAGAAAATACCATGATTTTTAACCACAGTGGGAAAATACCATTGGAGAAATCACTTTTCTTCTATTTTGGAAATGGAGCAGCATGTAAGCCAAAATAAACAAAACAAGCACAGAAAGTTAGGAACCGAAAAGGATCTGAATACTGATCAAATCACAAGTCTTTCTATCCTTTGGTACCTCCCTGCAAAAAATAATAATAATAATAGGAAATCAAGACTTTTCGAAGAAATGTATTGCAAATGACACCGCAAGGTGGAACGTTACAATAATATTTGCCTCAAGTATTCTAAAAAGAACACCACAGGGCAAGACATCAGAGACATTGTGTCAGTGCCGTGCTAGGGAAAGAATTGTAAGTGTTTGGGGATCTAACAAAATGCAATACCTATCTCTTCCCTTTCCCAAAGTAAAATTCCTTTAAAATATAATGTAGAACAAATAATCAACTTACAACACAGATACAAGAGTCAGGAGTTTATTTAAATTGCATCATTTCCACAGCACTCATGAAATACAGATTCAACCATGTTTTAAACATATATCAATAGACAATTATTTCACAAATTGTTATGAAATAAAGAATGTATACTTCAGCTTTCCTAACTTGACTACACACATAAAGGGAGATTTGTGTCAGTATTTGGGCTGAATTATAGTAAGGGAAAATATCTTCCCATATGCTGCTTATGAAAATTAGAAGTTACATGTAGAATAATATCAACTGTAATTTTAAATTACTCTTCACGATCAGCAACCCACCCACCCACCCCAAATTTAACATTCTCCTTGAGAAGGTACCTTTCAGCTCACTGGACAATAAAAGGCTCCCATTTTTATAGTTATAATCCATAAAGGATTCTAGCATTAACAAGGAGCATTGTCTTTTTACAAGATCAAATTACACTCACACCAGAGGGAAATATGTGATTTGATAGGCACACCCTAATATCAACATACATACTTGCTATTTCTCAATCATGGGCAAAGCAGTTTAGGATGTGAAGGTGAGTTTGCTCTTCTCAGGTATGAATAAATCAAGGGCTCAGTCCCAGAAGTAGCCCTACTATATGTTTTTTCCATATTTCATTTGTTCAGCTGGGGGGTCTGAATGACAGAAGCTTGCTTGAACATAAAAACATCTTTCAATGTGATTTGAATGTTTAATAGAGCATAATTCCACAAAGAAAGATCCTGTCATTCGAGCAAATGCAGGCACATCTCCTTCAGATCACCCAACTAAAGCTGACGGTGGTCAGAGAAAGCAACTTTAGATTTAGGTTCATTAGAGTTCATTTTTATTGGTAGTAAAGGAAGCCCTGGGAAAAATAAACCTCTTGTTCAACAACAAAGAATGGCATTTGCATGTCTAGGTGTTCTGAAAATAAATATTTGAGAAAACTCTTCCATTCATTTTTCTCATGCCACACAGGGACAAGTCAGAATGCAATTCAGATGTACCTGATCTCATGATATAGGCTCACTTTTGGGAATGGGGTTGATAGCTCAGCTGTGAGATATCTGAAACTGCAGCCATGCTGAGTTTTTCACTGGAAGTGCTGCAGGATCACCCTTCCCTCCTTCCAAGGTTGGTAAAATGAGGGCCCAGATTGTTGGGGCGGGCAATATGCTGGTTCTATAAACTTAGAGAAGGCTGTCAAGCACTATAAAGCGCTATATAAATCTAAGTGCTATTATTATTGCTATTTTTCAGGAAGCGTTTTCTGCCTTCCAACTATTTTGCTTCTCCTCCTCTCCAACCCCCTTCCAGGGTAAAGTTCAGCTACTGTGCTGGACCAAAATTATGGCTCTCTGCATTTCAAAAAAGAGATTGGCAAGTTTTCTTCAACTGTTTTGGAGGGACTGGAAATACAAAACATGATGGGGTGAAATTGTGCTAAGATTGCAGCCTTGTGCCCATGTTCAGCACCAAGCTCCCTTAAATTCAGCAGAATGCTGCCGAAGTTGTGGATATTCCTGTCTGTGGGAAAACCTCTCTCCACGTAACCGGTACCTGGTGCCCAAAAGATTGGGGACCTCTAGTATAGGGTCTCCTGCTCGAGCAGGAGATTGGACTAGAAGACCTCCAAGGTCCCTTTCAACTCTGCTATTCTATACTCTATTCTGTAAATATCATAAGGTGTATATGAAGTGTATTTCCAAGTCATCACACATAGGAAAAGGGATCTTAACATATTTCCTTTTTTTACTCCCATCCTCGAGATTCATTTGGTTTTTTTAAACTGATGTTTTCAAACGCATTTGAAGGCTGTTGCAAATGGGCAGAATGTGGATTGAAGTGAGGCATGGAAGGCCTTGCATGATGCAAACCACCAGAGAAAGGGCATAATGAAAGACATACCTCTCAGCTTCCTCATTACTGGAATATTTACAGGAATCTGTACCAGGCTATACCAGTGTTTCTCTGAAATACTTTTCTCCTTTGGGGAAAAAGATCCCACAGCAATTTTCAAACTGGGTTGGAAAAAAAAAGCAGAAAGAAATGTAGGGCACTGCATTGGTTTCTAACAGCAGTTCCTCAGTTCCTCAGAAGCAAAAATGTCTAGAGTCAGTAAAATTTACACAAGGGAAGTGGAAATTAGCCCCCACTCTTAATCAGGGTGTGGTTTGTAGCTATTTCTAAACATATAAACCAAAAACCTTTTGGTTCTGCCTAAGTAATACATAAAGTAACCTAGATTTCTGCTGAAGAGTAAGTGAAGACCCTGCATTCATATACTATATTGGCAATTGATATACAAGTCATAGGAGAAATCAAGTCTGGAAATTCACATTCCCAGGGAAAAGGCTTTGAAATTAAAATCCCATCTTAAAAGAGAAAACACCGCTACTTTCTAATTAACAGCAGGATATTTACCATTGTGTTTATGCTTTGTGTCTGTACGGCAAGCCATTTTGTATTGTCTAAATGAAAGACAATGCTTAACAAGCAAAGTTAGTTATAAAAATGCATTAACACTGCAGACATAGCTACACTTGTGAGAAAGATCTTCAAAGCTGAAGAACATCCAGGTTCCACGCCATCTGCTCAGGTTTCACTATATCCTTTCTGTTCCAGCACTGTAGTTCTTTTTGGCCACAGTAAGCTTCCCAGATATCTTCACAGCCCACAGAAAATCGTAGAATCGAAGTCAAGAGTCTGGAAAAGCTTTTATGATAGAGTCATAAGCAGGAGGTGGAGTTTGTGTTGAATGACAGACCCGAAGACTGTTATTTGGCCAAGTGAATTCTGGATGAGAAAAGCTGTTGGTGGGAGTGCTAGAAAGTGTGGTGGTCGGACTGGTGGGGACCAGAGTAATCAATTGACTCTCAGTTTCCACAGGAAGTGGAGGGCATTGGAGAAAAGGATGAAATGTAGAGGCCCGAAAACTTGATTTCCTTGGGAAAGAGTTAGCCTGATCTAAAGATGCTTGCCTTTGGAAGGTGAGGCTAGCTAAGCTGAGATTGCTTCGGCGCTCACAGCTGCTGTTGCGGTAGAATCCAGGCCTGCTGGCAACACATCCATGAGCAGCTCTGGTACGTCGGCTGGATGATGAGTTGCTCCAATGGGAAATGTGGGCACTGGCTCTGCGGCCAGACAGGCAAGTCAAAAGGGCCCAGATTATGCTTCCAATGACAAGTCCAATCACCATAGAAACCGAAAATGCTATTATTATTTGATCTAGAAAGGAAAAACAATGGTAAGTCAATTAATCACAAATTCAATGAAAAAAAAAGACATTTTTGTAAAAAGCATGCAGTGGTCAATAGTAAGTACAGCTCTCATGCAGAAATGTTTTTTTCAAATGAATAGACCAGATTTGTCCAACCCATTTCTCTTTAGATGCGTTGAGATTAAAAGTTCAAGGATTTCCTTCCTATCCTGGCCAATAATTATGCTAACTGAGAATCCAGAGAATTATGCCCACTATACAGAGAGGAAAGATTTCCAGGCCAATCTAAAATCTTTGGAGAATCATGAGGATTGGTCCTTGCTGGGGCCAAATTAAAAAAATAGTTTTTGTTTTGTTTTTAATAGTCATACTGAAAACTGACTGTCTCCCAAGCTTTGGCTGCAAATTGTCAAGATATAATCTTGTAAGATTTCAGCCACCCATCATCATCATCATTATCATCATCATCATCATCATCATCATCATCATCATCAATTATTATTATTATTAGTCTAAATTAAAAACAATATAAAAAATACAAATATTACAGTGCACCCCCCAGAGACCATTTTTATTACCTGTATTTCTTCTCATATAACAACTAACAATATACAATATATTTCAGTTGTGTCCTTATCCCCTCCAAAACAGCATATTTATATTCCTGAGTAGGTTTATTCCCTTTGCCTTCCACCAACACTGTTTTTATAAAATCCTCCAATATTTCATTATAATTATTTTCTTTAATCATCCCTTTTTAAAATTTAATGTCTGTTGTTAATTTATCATTACCACAGTCCATATTTCATTACACCACTCATTTCTCTGACTAACCCAATTCCGTCTCCAATATTTAGCCATCACTAATCTAGCTGCCATTATCAAATTTACAATCAGTTCCTTTTTTTGCTTCATTTATATCTTGTTTTTCCACCAGTAACAGTAATGCAATAATGTAATTGCTATTGCATTACTAATAGCAACCCAGTTGTTTTAAGTGAGTCTGGCTTCCCAACTGACTTTGCTTGTCAGAAAGTCACAAAAGGGGATCACATGACCCCGGGAGACAGCAACGGTCATAAATATGAACCGCTAAACAAACCGTTGTAAGCTGAGAACTACCTGCAGTCTTTCAGCTCCTGGGATCTGAAGCTACGGAGAGCTTTTATACTTAATATCAGCATCTTGAATTGCAGCTGGAAATGAACAGGAGCTAATGAACATCATAAAGACCCAAAGTGTGAGGTGTTCCTTTTGCTTTACCCACTTCTAGTCAATAATATTGCCTTACTATTTGATATTACTTTTTTTTTTAACTTTCTACAAAGGTAGCCTTAGCTACAGTGCACTGCAGTTATCATTTTTTTAGGAAAGCTGTAATAAATATGCTACTTTAAAAGTCTGAAGTCTGAAAATGTAACACTGTTCTGTTGGAACCAAGTGGCTACAGTGGAAATTAAGCTTAATGAGGTCACAAATCAAGCCACTAAACACACTACTTGTGTATACTGCCAAACCATCCATCCAACCAAACAAATATAAATCCACTCTAATTTGCAATAGCATTTTAAAACTCTGTCTGTTCCTTTTGCATTTAAAGCTGTGCATTTAAACTCAGCACCTTCAGTATGCATCACTTATGCACGATAGTTTACTAGCTGTGACCCAGGAATTTAAAAGGGAAATAAAAATATTGGCTGCAACTGATGAAGCCTTTCATGAGTAGAATTCACCTTTCACTTTGCAGAGATTAGGTGTGCTAATCTACTACAGCAAAATTGTTTAGATAAAACAAATATGTGCCACAAGATTCTTTGATCAATTTGCTCTGCAATGTAAGGGATTACACAGGGTCCTAAAAATCGGAGAACTTTCAAAGAATCATTTCTCTGTGACATGTTTATGGGAACACTGCCCTCTACTGGACATGTGTGTGAATAAAGCAATGAGATGTTTAAATGAAAGCTGTGTGAAATAGTAACAAATGCCATTATTTAGAAAGAAATTGGTTTCCTTAGCCTTCTAATTTAATTCAGAAGCTTGTTATATCTCGTCTTAGACAACTATGTAATAGATAAGTTTTCTTTGTTAACATTCCTAATGCTACCTGTCTGATCTCACTGTACAGTAAAACTGTTTTATTTTTCAGCAAAAAAGAAATAATGGGGGGAAAACAGATTACAAATGGAAAATTACAGGTTACAAATTGAAAATGAGAGCATTTCATTACCTCATGAAATTCTACTAATCACACAAGATAATTACACCATTTAAGTGTTAGTGCTTTCATATCTGCACTGCACAAATCCAGATTACCATTTAATGAAAGCAGGGACCGAATTTTCTGTTTCTTTTTATTGCTATCTAGTGGTTACTTAAGCATTTCTAGCCTAGATATGGTTCTGCTTACTGAGATACATTTGAAAACATCCTGAGTAGCAACATACGACCCAGGCCCCCAAAACAGGCAAGATCTCTTCTTTTCATTGGCAACTTTAGCATTATAGTTGGGTTCCATATTTCAGCTGTAAAAATCAGGATGGCCATTAGATGGCAGCCTCCCCCCAAAATTGTTAACTTCTCATTGTACGCAGTGGCTGAAGGATTTATTTCAAAAGCTGCTGCTTTCCCTAAAGTAATGCAGCCCACATTACTGTTGGAAGCCAAATTGCACTTTATTTTCTACATAACTTTCAGAATAGACTGAGTCTTTGTACTATATGTTGTTGTAATTTTGTGTTGGGTCTTGAAGGGCCTTTTACTAAAATGCTCGGGCATGGATAGATAGTTTCTTTGGATTTCAACCACTATTCAAAATAAGACATTTCCTTCTGCATTATTTAAACAGAATCATTAGAGAATCAGTCAGTACATTATCAATCTAAATAAAAAGTAACTAATATGTGTGAGCACTAGAATATTAGTGCTCTTAGAAAAATTACAGAAACATCATCAAGACCTATGTTCCTCTCCTAGAAAATGGTGTCTGTATTCAAATAGATCTTGATTTATTATTTTCGGTTATATACAAAATTAAATTAGATGGAAGTAGCAGTTTCCTGCTGTTGTTGAGCAGCCACCAATAAAAAGAGGTTTTGCAAAAGTTGGCAAGCACGAAGCTTGCTGTGGAGCCAGGCTGCTTCAGGTGTCCCTTAATAACAAGGAAATTCAACAGCACTGCAGTCTGCAAAATATCCTGCTGAAACATTTGGTAAATACATTATAAATCTGATCAACAGTTTTTTTTTCCAGACCCCCTCCACCTTAGGCATGGTGAAAAGCCATACATTTTAAAAATTGGAACTGTAAAATAAACTCTGTTTTTTTTTTCTTATTATGCATGAATTGGTATTTCTAATTCATTTATAAAATTTGTGTGATTTGGGGAAGGTTTTGCTTTAAACGATGGAATGATTGTGAAAAAGAATATTAATCACATAGCAGAAAAGCCATAATAACCTTCCCCAGACCTCCCTAATCTTTAACTGAAGTTAAAAGACTCAACATTTTACAATGTATTTTATTTATTTGCTGTCCACTTCACCTATGTATCCCTGGGCAGTTTACAAACAACATCATAAGATAATATAAAAATGTGACCAAACGCACAGTTAAAAACAGAGTTTAAAAACAAGGTTAAAATTTACACTTTTCACTTTCTTGTTCTATATTCGTTACATCTGTTGCCATACCATAGGATATGTAATTGCATCATAAGCCCCAAAATAAACAGATGGTGCTGATCTGCTCCTTTGGTATTAACATGAACTGGTAAACATAAATTGGACAGATAAGTCATAGGATGGAAGCTGCTAATATTGTTCGAACAGATGTTGAGTCTGAAGTCTTTGAAGTGAAAAACTTTGATTTTTTAAAGAATAAAGTATGTTATTCACCATCATAGCAATAGCTGTCAGATAGTCCATGTTATTAGGCAGCAACATTTGGAGAATGAATGGCCACTGATGCCATCAGTGCATGATGATTTTTTTTTATTATGTATATCAATCAATCAATCAGAATAAAGCTGGAAGGGTCCAACCCCCTGCTCAAGCAGGAGACCCAATACCATTTCAGACAGGTGGCTGTCCAGTCTTTTCTTAAAAACTGCCAGTGATGAAGCACCTACAACTTCTGAAGGCAAGCTATTCCACTGGTTAATTGTCTTTACTGTTAGGAAGTTTCTCCTTAATTCCAGGTTGCTTCTCTCCTTGATTAGTTTCCATCCATTGTTCTTTGTCTTGCCTTCTGGTGCTTTGGAAAATAAGTTGAACCACTCTTCTTTGTGGCAGCCCCTCAAATACTAGAAAATTGCTATCATGTCCCCCCTAGTCCTTCTTTTCTCTAGACTGGCCATGCCCAATTCCTGCAATTGTTCTTCATATGTTTTTTGTCTCCGGGCCCTTAATCAACTTAGTTGCTCTTCTTTGCACTTTTTCCAAAGTCTCAACATTTTTTTTGTAATGTGGTGACCAAAACTGGATGCAGTATTCCAGGTGTGGCCTTACTAAGACTTTATAAAGCAGTACTAATATTTCACATGATTTTGATTCTGTGCTTCTGTTTATGCAACCCAGGACTGTATTAGCTTTTTTGGCTGCTGCCACACTGCTGGCTCATGTTTAAGTGATCGTCCACTAGGACTCCAATATCCCTGTCACAGCTCCAGTTTTTGAGCCAGGTTTCACCTATATGATTTTATACTGTTGTCATTTTTCTGATGTAAGCTGTTGGGAGTCATCTTTGGAATCTGGCAGCATAAAATGCAGTCAGTCATTCAAGTAATCAGTCAATCAAGCAATCAGTACTATAATTGTAGCTTCCTTCTTTTCTGTTGCATCCTAGGACCTCTTAACTTCTGACAGCTAGACCAAAAGCTGTTGGGAACAGTTCATCAAGTGTTTGAATTCATGTTTCCCCCCCGCTTTTTATTGACAACTATAGCTGTTCAGGAGCAGGGAAGAATTATTCTTGCTTTGAATCTGATTGTGTCTAAACCAGTGGTTCTCAACCTTTTTAATGCTGTGACCCCAACCGGTCGTAAGTCGAGGACTAAACCGGTTGTAAGTCGAGGACTACCCAACCGGTCGTAAGTCGAGGACTTTCCCTGCCCGGGAGCGCCACGCATGTGTGGTTTCGCCCCCTGCGCCGGCCGAGGCGTAGCTGGCAAGCGGCAGAGACGGAGCAGGCCGACCACCAGCTGGCCCAGCCCAAGGGAGGTAAGGCATCCGCCAGAAAAGGGGGGGGAAATGGCGGACAAAAAAAATGGCGGACAGCCTTGCTTGGCGACCCCCGTGAAATGGTCGATCGACCCCAAATGGGGTCCCGACCCACAGGTTGAGAACCACTGGTCTAAACAGAATAATACAGCCATTTGAGCGTCAGAGTTATGCCCTGCTATGCAAAGCAGAGCTATCTCCTCCCCAACCCATTCCTAAATCCCCCACCTTCTGGACATCTCCCCTGACATAGTAGGGTAGAACTAAAGGGGACAGGAAGAGATCTAATAGTTTTCCTCTCTTTCATGGCCAGCCTCCATGAAATACCTCTTGCATCCGCAAAGAATGACAATGTAGTTGTGAACATTTTCCCCCCTTCTATCTCCTGTAGGCATCATTGTACAGCTCTTTCAGTTTTGGTAGTTCCTGTTACCTAAAGTTCAGATCTATGCATGTTGCCATGAACATCTATAGGATCTTATCAATTGAATGGGACCAACAGAAGTTATGGAAATCATCAGTAACCCAATGTATTTTGCAGAAAGCGGTGAATGCTCCAACACTGGAAGTTTTTAAGAAGAGACTGGACAGCCATTTGTCCGAAATGGTATAGGGTTTCCTGCCTGAGCAGGGGGTTGGACTAGATGACCTCCAAGGTCC